TGATCACCTTCTCATAGGATCATTTCTCTTCCTAGATCCTGTGTGGTGAGGCCATTTTTTAATTGGATTGTTTGTTTTCCTATTGTGAGGTTTTACATGTTCTTTGTCTATTTTGGATTTAAGTCCTTCATCAAACATGTCTTTTGCAAACATTTTCTCCCATTCTGTGCCTTATCTTTTGACCACTTACTTGTGCCTTTCATAAAGCAGACACTTTTAATTTTCATGAGTTCTAAGGTCCCAGCTTTTTCTTTTCTGAGTTGTGCCTTTGACCTGTCATCTCATCACTCATCGCCAAACCTTGAATGATTTTTAAATACGTTTTCTTATGTAATCACTATACCCCTGATCTGAGGCAGGGGATATATCTCCATTTTATAGAAGAAAAAAGAGAGAATGGGTGTGCACAAAAAGAGAGTGTGTAGACAAAAGCAGGCCAAGAGCAACATTAAAAGTCTTCAGAGTTCCCTGTTCAGCCTTAAAATTCATGACCATTTGACTACGTCTTCTATTACATAGCTATATTCCTTTTAATGCAAACATTATGTTATGGTTGCCAGAGAACGCACACGCCCCCACCACCAATGCTTGGATAAAACCAGTGCGTTATTAGCAGATGCTGTGTTTGTTGATGGGGTGACTTTACATCCCCCAACACAGTGATACGCTCCTTTCAGAAATATTTATTTGTACCTCAATGTGGGGAGTACACAGCCTTGAAGGAAAGGGCAAGGTCAAGTACTTTGTGAAAGTCACACAACTAGCAAGTGTCAGACGCAGAATTTGAGTCCTGAGTGAGCAGACTACAAAGCCAGGGTCCCAGGAGCCTTCAGGGCACAGTATATGAGCCAGCACCTGTGTCCTTGGCTCAGGGAGGCTGATGCCATCCTGACTCCTGCCAGTCAAGGAGGCCCCTTCGCCTTTCGCCATCCACCTGGCCCTCCTCTGTCCTTTGCAGCCTTTACAATCCCACCATATCAGTGTTTTTCAACCTTATTTTATCTCCTGGCGCACTTGAACCTACCGTGAAACTTCCATGGCACGCTTAAATTATCTTGACCAAAAAAAAAAAAAAAGAGTAAAAGAAAAAAGAATATACTTACTGTACTGTGCTTTGAATTTCTTTTGAAAATAGTTTCATTAACGATCTTTAGAAATTTCCATGGCGCATCTACGATCCTCTCACTTTCCCACCAGTGTGCCATGGCACGTGGGTTAAAAATCACTGCCATGTAATTCAGGCTTCCCTCTCCCTTCAAAGCCTATGTTAGAAAAGGGGGGACAGCTACCCCAGGATACGCTTGTCCCTAAAACGTGTAAATGTGGGAAGGAGCCAGCCTTAGGGCAGGGAAAAACTACTATTACTTTTAATAATAAAAAAAAAACCTTTCTGTGCCCAAATAATTTTTGCTGAAACAATAATGCACATAATAAAACCGAGGGAACTTGTAATTATTCCCAATTAAACCATGTAGCAGCGCCTCCCTGGCTGTGAGAACCCTTTATTTCCTGGTTGGATTGTGTTTGGTGGCTGGGGCTGGAGTAGCCACAGTTCTGAAAGCAGCAGCTTCTCGAGAGAAAGAGGTCATTCTCTCCGAGGAATGCTTGGCCCTCCAGAGCTCGGATCTGACTGGCTCCTCTGGAGAGAAATGGGGGCTGCAGACGTCCTTCTGCGAGAGCCTGCTCCCAGAGTCCGGCGCTGGACAAGGCAGGCTCTTTGCTGTTTTATCTGGATTTTATGCACCCAGCAAACATTATGGTGTGTTAGGCACAGACACCCCCAACTCCAACCTTCCCCTAAGGATCCAGGGGCCTTAAGTATGTTCCATTTGTCCCTCATGCTGTCCTGCAATCCATGACCTAAATGTAAGTCTCTGCAGCGCCGATGGATGACTAACTCTGTGACCCTACTTGACTGCTCTGGGCCACTTTCTTCTCACCTGTGAAGCAGGAGTGACAGGACTCAAGGCGGGGCTGGCAGGATGCTCTCACCTAGCTCATTTGAAGGAGATTGCTAGTCTAACAGGAACAAAATGGCAAGTAGATGACTGTGCCACCAAAGCTGGCCTTCAAAGCTTGCTGCAAATCTTTAGATGCTTTTGGTGGCACATGTTTCCTCCCGAGCATGTGTAAAGCACTTAGCACAGCGCACTAACTCGGGGTTAATGCCCTCTCCTTCCCTTTTTCTGCAACTGCTTCAAAGAGCCCCACCCACTTCAGCACGCCTCACTGCCTGCCACAGGCAGCTCTGCCCCACCCCCACTGAAGCCTGAGCCTCAGGCACCTTCAGGGAAAGCTCCAGGGTGACCGTTGCTACACATGCCTCAAAGACCCCAAATCAGTTTTGAGACCTGCTCCAATCAGTGTGACTAAGGGATGAAATTGGAACTACAGGCAGTTTGGAGAGATTAACCAGCTCTCCCACCAAAAGCCCAGGCAACCTGTGTTACTAAATCCCCCTGCCAGATTAAGCCTGAGCCCACGGATCCCCCACAGGCTTGGACAGAATGTGACAGGATGGGACACTTGCTAGGCCTTAGTCCAATAAGGAAGCTAAAAGTAGATGGGGCGTGAGCACACAGCCCTGTTGCTCTCTTTGTGTTATTGGTAGAGGTAGTGGCAGCCTTGAAAAGGTGTCAACCGAAAGACTCAAGCTGGACCCTGGCTCCACCATGTGCCAGCTGTGTGACTTGGGTGAGTCGCTTTGCATCTCTGGGCCTCAGTCCCTTCAACAGAAAAATGGAGCTCATTGTATATATTTCACAGAGCTGTGAAGGATTCTGAGATCATAGGTTCAAAATGTATTTCCTCAAAGAGCCTGTGCATGAAACACAGTGGGGCTGTCCCTGGCCAGAGGGTCGAGTCCTGTCCGTGGTCTGGCTGACTCTTCCTCCGTGCTCCGTGCTCCTTGGCGCCCTGCACCTGCAGTTTCCTCTTACTCAACTGTGGCTGCTCAGAGACCCGGCGATATGATATATGATATCCTTGCTTTCCCACACCTGGCCACGCATAGCTTCCTAGAAAGGCACACCATGTGACTTGCACTTTGTAACTGATGCAACCCTCTGTGACCCTCAACTAATATATCTACCAGGATGCCCTATCTAGACTCTATGCAGATCTTCACGAAAGTGTTGAGGTATACAAAAATCAAGAAACACAAAATCTGCACATACAGAAACAAATGAAGCCTGCCCAGCAATATCGTTCAGCTGAGCACGCTGAAATGACCACAGGTGAATCAGAAAGGACGCTGTTGACTGTGTTCCTTGAAAGTGAAATGATGGACCATAACATAGTCTGTCTCAAAACTTTCATAGTGACCCAGATTGAGGGCAAGTAGTAGGTCTGCTTCTACCAGGGTGCCAAACTAGACACATAGCAGGGTTTAGTGGGTATATGTGGAAGGCAGGGGAAAAAATGGGAAGGGGGGAGAAGAAGAGAGAAAGAAACAGAACCCCCCCCCCAACAGCAGCAGTTGACCTGGCCAGTTCTGCCCACTCAGCATCTGGGCAGACACACACTCACTTCTCTCCCTGAGGCTAGAGTCCAGGTACTTTTAGTCTTCCTAGTCAAAAGCTACAAAGTTCACAAAGCCCAGCTATGGCTTGTCTCTCTACCAGGACTTTCCTTTGTGAGTTTAATGACTTGACCAGTCACCCGAGGGTTATGGTTGTGATGGGGTTGTCAGGGGTTACGGAAGAAGATCCCCAATGTAATCTCCCTGTGAAGATGGGTGAGGAGGACCCACCTTCTGTTCATTTGCCCCTTGATACGATGCTGTCTTCAACCCCCCAGGGGTTACCTTTTTTGGTCTAGAATGCCTCCAGACCCCACCCTCACACTCTGCAATGCCCGCCACCACCATGCTGGTAACAGCCAGTCCCCCCAGGTGACTTGTACTTATCCTTCAAAATGCAACTCGTGGGTGACCTGACTAGCAGGGGACACCGTCTGCACAGCAGGCCTGCAGAACAGTTATTAAGAAACCTGAAAGTGGCTCGGCGCCTGTGGCTCAAGTGGCTAAGGCGCCAGCCATGTACACCTAAGGTGGCGGGTTCGAATCCAGCCCGGGTCCGCCAAACAACAATGATGGCTGCAACCAAAAAATAGCTTGGCGTTGTGGCAGGCGCCTGTGGTCCCAGCTACTTGGGAGGCTGAGGCAGGAGACTCGCTTGAGCCCAGGAGTTGGAGGTTGCTGTGAGCTGAGATGCCACAGCACTCTACCCAGGGGGACAGCTTGAGGCTCTGTCTCAAAAAAAAAAAGAAACCTGAAAGTGAGGCAAATCTCAACGCCTAGCGCCTCTCAGCTCTGTGACCTTGGGAAAGTCACCTCCCACCTCAGTGGCTCAGTTTGCCCATCTGTATAATGGAGATGATGGCATAGTCCTCACAGGGTTGCTACAAGAAGTAAATCGGTAGGTGAGTGCAAAGAGCTCGGCACGGCACTTCACACATACAAAGCTCCAAATGGATGGCAGCTGTGCCTGGGAAGGACTCGTTCCTGGGCCCCAGACTTGAGGCGTCCCTCCTCCCACTCTTGTGGTGCCCCGTGCTTGCTCCCACAGCTGCCCTTTATCTCTCTGTTTTAATATCTGCTCCTTACTTATGAGTGCACTGCTCATAGACAGGACCACTCCGCCTTGTCCTCTTCACCATCTCACGCCGGGACGGGCTGTCCCATGAGTGAATGAACTAGTGAGACAAACGTGTGCATGAATAAATAGCATGAATGCACAGCTCTTTAGGCCACGTTGACAGCAATGCTTATTCTCAGCCCCATTAGGGCTGAAGATGGGGCTGCCCGGATGCCCAGAGGGACTCCGGTCTGAACCCTGCCTAGGATGCCACCGTCAGCCCGTGAGGAGAGGGAGCTGCAGGGACCACGAGACTAAAAGGTGAATTTTTGTTACTACTAACTTTAACCCTCCCGCCCCCTCCCAATTAGGTCAGAATGCAGACAGTCATTCATTCATTTAACAAATATTTATCGAGCCAGACAGACACAGTTCCAGGCAATGGGATACAGCAGAGGATTAGATGGGCGTATTTCCTGGAGAGAAAAGGAAGGATGACTCTACCTGTATTCTATGATGAGAGGAGGCATCAACCAACATCACCTAGGGCTTTGGAAGTAAGAAGAGAAAAGAGGAGAAGAAAGGACAGGCAGTCAAGAGGCCCAGAGTCTTATTTTTGCTTCCAGCACAGTCATGTCAACCAAGACACTGAGCTTCTCTCTGCTTCTGGAACACTGGCTTACTCAGGACGGCCTGTCTGTCCTACCCACCATAAGCTCGGACACTCCTACTGGGACTGATGACAGAAAATGCTACAAGGTCATGGACAGATGGCGATTGGTTGGCTCATCATTCACCTCTGCACAGGTCTACTTCTTCATCAGTACAATGGGGATAGCAGTCCTCACCTGACCACCATAGGGGATCACCAGGGGTCAGAACCCAGACTGTGGAAGGAGAAAGTCCTTGTCACCAACGAGGCGCTCTGACAGCATAACTCTTTGACCCACTCTCCAGTTTCAAGGCCTGGCTTTCCCGGGTAGCTCACTTGGTCTCTGATTCTCAGTGTTCTCATCTGAAAAATGGGAATAATAATTCCTGCCCCACATACTCCACAAAGACAGCTATGAGGAACCTTCACAGGTGTTGTCATGCTATGTAAATAGCAAGTGCTCTGTAAATTTGAGGAGTGATTATTCTTTTTGTCATCATGAAGGATTATGTTCACCACAGTATAATGGGACATAACTCCAACTTTCCGTCCACACCATGGTGTGTGGGCATCAGCTTTCCCTCTCTGAGCCTCTTTCTACTTCCCTGTCAAATGAGGACCTTAGATTCTCTTGAAAAGTCAGGATGCTGGCTCGGTGCCTGCGGCTCAAGCGGCTAAGGCGCCAGCCACATACACCTAAGGTGGCGGGTTCGAATCCAGCCCAGGCCCACCAAACAACAATCATGGCTACAACCAAAAAATAGCCCAGCATTGTGGTGGGCGCCTGTGGTCTCATCTACTTGGGAGGCTGAGGCAGGAGACTCTCTTGAGCCCAGCAGTTGGAGGTTGCTGTGAGCTGTGATGACACAGCACTCTACCCCAGGGCGGGGGGGGGAGGGCAGCTTGAGGCTCTGTTTCAAAAAAAAAAAAGTTAGAATGTTAATGGCTTCAAAAACAAAAAAGTGATACTCAGGTATCACTATCTATTATTTCAGGTAGTCTAAACCTAGGGGCCAGGCTGGGTGTTACAAAGTCTAAAAGGCTTCAGGGCCACAGGCTTGTTTCTGAGTCTTCACTGTGTCATTACGGCTCCTGCCGCTCCAAACTTCACACCCTCACCCGCTAATGCCCAAAGGCAAGAGGAGGGAAGTGTTTGTCTCGGATCTCTTAAGAATAAGGAAAACTTTCCCAGATGTGCCCCTTGTATTTCACGGTGGGGAAGGGGTGAGGTGCAGAGACAAGAAAGGGACCCTGTGCCTCTTACCTAAACAAGTCAGGGAAGGAGAAAAGGAATCATCACGAACAGCGACAAATCCGTGTTCTGAGGAGAAAGAACATGGCGATGGCTGTTGGGTCGGCACCGCCCAGCTGCCAACACACATCCTGGGTGCTCTCAGGTCCATTCCAGCAGCAACGTGCAGAAACCTGAGATCAGCCTGAGGTCATAGACCATCCCAGGAGGGGCTTAGTCGTGAAACCCTTTCCTCGTGGACCCCCAGACTCCAAGCCCTACACTGCCCCTTCCAGATGGACGGAGTGGTAGGTGGTGCTGATGAACAACCCAGGACCTCTATGCCTGCGAATCAGTCTGGGCCCTGCAGAGCTCTCAGCCAGGCTACAGCACTGGCAGGTTCCCGGATTGTGTTTCTAAAACCAGCTTAGCCTGCCAGGGCCTACGCTGATGATCACTCACTTTCCTTCCTGTGTCTTCTGATAAATAACAGAAACCAAAGACAGGGACTTAAATAAGATAAAAGTCTTTTATTCCCCCCAGGTAAGAAGTCCAGCAGTGAGGAGCCCAGGGAACCCACGTCCCTCATACATTTGGCTCTTCCATCCTCACCACAGACTCACCTTCAAGGCCACTCTGGGGGCTGAGGTTGCTTCTGTGATGCTATCAATGCGTCACGCCCTAAAAGGATGAGGGCAAAGTCGTATCCATCATCCCCCACCTACCTCTCTTCTCAAAGAGCTTTCCCAAAATTCCACCCCAAAACCAATTCTTTTTTTTTTTTTTTTTTTGGAGACAGTCTCAAGCTGTCACCCTGGGTAGAGTGCCGTGGCATCACAGCTCACAGCAACCTCAAACTCTTGGGCTTGAGCAATTCTCTTGCCTCAGCCTCCCAAGTAGCTGGGACGACAGGAGCCCCCCATAATGCCCGGCAAACCAAAACCACTTCTTATATCTCATTTGCCAGAACTTGGTCTCAGCATCACACTGTGTTGCTAAGAGGCTGGGAAATAGGCTTTTAAACTGGGCATGTTGCAACCCCCAATTCATTTAAACCCAGAAGAGGAGAAGAAACACCGCCAGGCAGCTGGCAATCTCCACTACAGTCCCAGGGCTGACAATGAGAGAGCCCTGGATGAGAACTCCAGGCAGTTGAGAATTGCAAAGTGTTGAGGGACAGGGGACACTGGTGTGTTGCTATTTGTTTGGTTTTGGCTGGCTTTCATTCAGCTACTTATGGGACTCCAGGCATGTCACTCACTTCTCTGAATTTCTGCTAATATAAAGGGTGGGACTGCTAGAGCCACTGTGGCAAGATGAATCGGAGAACAGATACAGTCTTTCATCTCTTTGCTTAGATATTCACCGAGAAGCTGCTGAGGCACCTTCTGTCCACCAAGTGCTGGGCTGGGCATTGTGGATTCAGAGAGTCACAAAAATCCTTCCAGGAGTTGATAGTTACTTGAAAAGAGCCCAGGAAACATGCGGGGCAAGAAATTGTGCCAAATTCTGTGCTAAGAAATTGGAGGCTGGAAGAAGAGCACGGACAGGGATGCTCCAAGGCATTGTCAGGACGCTGAGAAGATGCACAGGGGCTTGTGGGTAGAGGAAGTCGGGAAGCACAGGCAGGAGACCTGCGTGTGAACAGGTGTGAACCCTGAAAAACCATACCGTGTCCCAGGATTATTTTCCCACACAACATTGGTCCTCGCATAGAGGTTCTGGTTTCTCAACCTTTTCCACCCACTAGTATTGTTTATTCTGCTCGTTTGAAGTCAAGCTGACATGAAATCAGTTCCCAGATCGATCATTTAACAATGCAAAGTCAGGCTCAGCCCCTGGGGCTCAAGTGGCTAAGGCGCCAGCCACATACACCTAAGGTGGTGGGTTCGAATTCAGCCTAGGCCCGCCAAAAAACAACAATGATGGCTGCAACCAAAAAAAAATAGCCGGGCGTTGTGGTGGGTGCCTGTGGTCCCAGCTACTTGGGAGGCTGAGGCAGGAGACTCGCTTGAGCCCAGGAGTTGGAGGTTGCTGTGAGCTGTAATGCCACAGCACTCTACCCAGAGGGACAGCTTGAGGCTCTGTCTCAAAAAAAACAATGCAAACTCAGGCCAGGGTTTGCATGGGGCCCGCTTCAATGCCTGAGTGCCCTCAGCCCCTGGAGGTAAAGACTAAATGAGATCTCAAGTGCAAGTACGCCTAGCGGTCCCAACACACCTACAGCCAGGGCTCCCTTCCCTCCCCACGGCTGCAGGGAGCCAGGAAGGCAAATGGCTTAAGGAGAGCAAAGGCAGTTTCTGTGTCTATGGTATTCCTAAGTTGTAACAGGAACAAGAAAAAAATCAGGTGAGAGAGAAGCCACGATGGCTGCCAAGGAGTGGACGGCATTGTTCAGCCCTGGAAAAACTGCTGCCAAGGGCTTTGAAAGCAGGGAAAAGGTCAGCAGCTCACCAGAGAACAACGCGCGGCCTGTGACCTCCCTCCATCATTCCCATGGCTCCCCGTGCGGGTTTCCGCCTCTGGAACATGGGAAGGTGATCCCTGCCCTGCAGGGCTATCTGGGCTGTGTGCACCGCCCGGCAGCAGGGTTGTGCATTGGAAAGTACGGGCCATCCGAGGAGGGACGCAGTCTCTGTCTGCACAGCGCTGCCCGGCTGGTCTCCTCGCCTCCCATGCTTCCTTCAGGGTCTCCTCCACCCCAAGCTCTCCCTCCTTCCTGTCACCTTCTAAATCCTCCCCACCTTTGACAACCGCTTTTCTGAGAAGCCCCTTCTGGTGATGCTAACTACAGTGTTCTCATGCTGTCAAGGTGTCTGCAGACTGGGCCGCACCGTGACAGTCGCTCTTCTTTCTGCAAACTGGGCCACACTGTGAGAGTGGCTCTTTCTTCTGCAGACTGGGCCGCACCGTGAGAGTGGCTCTTTCTTCTGCTAAGTTTGTATTTTTGTTTCTGTTCTGTCTTTCTCATCTCACTCAGCAAGGACCCCACTGTCTCCACTTCCCCCTTATAGCCTTATAGTCACTCTCTGAGGGCCCTCCCTCTGCCCCCCACCTGTTGCAAATCTCACCTTGCTTCACTGCTGCAGTAGAGACCACCTTGCCTGTGCACTCCACCGTGATGGTTTCAGTTCCCCAGATGCACTGTGCTCTGGTTCCCCTCCTCCCCGTCATCCTTCAGACAGCACCTGCCTCATCTTCACCTCCAATCCTGCTCAGATAAGTTTGGCTGCTGTGAGTTTCCCTGCTCCCTGGGCTCCCCGCAGCCACGCTCAGCACTGCTGAAATTAACCAGTTGCTCCCTTTCTCTCTCTCTCACAAACCAGGGCTGTCTCTCTCATTCTTCAGGTCGCCCCCCAGCACCTAGTGCAGTGCCTCCCCAGGGCGGGCGCATAAGTGACCCATCCACCCTTCACTCTGCACTGAGCTCACAACAGATGAACAGATGTCATCACCCATGAATTCAGTCCAGCAGCATTTCTCCAGTGCCTACTACGTGTCAGGTTCCAGGCTAGCTCCTGGAATAAAACGATAAGTAAATCTAAATTTCTGTTCTCAAGAAGATACCAGGCAAGAGGAGGCAAGAAACCACAGCAGTGGAAGGGGAAGAAGCTGTAAGTACGGAGACGTCCTTCCTGCTGTAGAAGAACTTTATCTCGGAGGATCAGGGAAGGCTTCTCAGAGGAGGTGGTAGCGATGGGTCTTTTCAGAAAAATGGGAGTTTTCCAGGTTTAGGAAAGAGGACTGGGATGACCAAGGTGGAAAGAAAGTCGTGTGCAAAGACAGGGAAGGAGGAAAAGGGCCACCAAATTCGGGAAGCTTGAGAAATTCAGTGTCATGGGGTATGGAGCCCAAGAGGGGAGGGGAAAGTCTCCATCTTTTTAAAGGCTGCATAATATTCCATCATATAAATGGGGTATATGTATGCTGTGGAATATTATGCAGCCTTAAAAAAGTTGAGACTTTACCTCTTTTACATTTACATGGATGGAGCTGGAACATATCCTACTTAGTAAAGTATCTCAAGAATGGAAGAAAAAATATCCAATGCACTCAGGACTATTATGAAATCAATTTACAATCACTCACACTTTCATATGAAGAATAGGTCACAACTATGGCCTAGGATGAAGGAGGGAGGAGGAGGGATGAGAGGGGAGGGGGAGTTAGATCAAGGGAGGGTGAATGGTGGGATCACGCCTATGGTGCTTAATGCAAGGGTACATGTCGGATCTATTAGTGTAGAGTATGTAGAGTGTGTCTTAACACAATAATTGAGTAAACGAGATAAGGTATATGTCAACCACTGTGATGTAAGCGTTCCTAATTCTATATGAAATCGGCACATTGTACCCCATAAATGCATTAATGTATACATGATCTATGTGTTCATTATTTAATAAAGAAAATTGTTTAAAAGAGGGGAGGGGAGGCCACGAGGCTTGAGAGGAAAGCAGGGTCTGACTGGGAAGCACTGTGCATGCCACATAGGGCTCCCGCGGGCAGCCGGGGAGCCAGGAGACAGCTCTGAGGTTTAGAAAGATAACCGTGACTCAATCTGGTCTCATTTACTAACCTCCCTGCTCACCAGCCCTCACCCATCCTTCCATTCTTCCTCCTACAGACCAGTAGTTCCCAGAGGGTGGCCATGAACCAGCAGGATGGCATCAAGGAGGAACTTGGTGAAAATGCAATTCTCCAGCCCCACTGCACCCCAGTGGCATCAGAAACACAAAGGTGGGGCACCTTAACAAGCTAAAGCACACTCAAGTTCAAGAACCCCTGATCCAGACAAGCCCGTCTCCTAAGAAGAGACAGGACTAAGGTGCCGCCTTTAGCTAAGAGTTCTCCAGAATCACACCCCCGTGGAGGACTTACACCTACCAGCAGAGAGACAAGAGGCAGGAGGGTTCTTGCCCTGCATACCCCACATATATTTCAGGATTGAGCTCAGACACGAATGAATCTGAGTCCTGGTATAGCACCGTGTGGCCAGGACTCTGATGGAGAGACAGCAGAGGGGCTCGGCGCCCTGCTCTGCCTGCTGAAGGGAGAGGGCCCCGCCAGAGTCTCTCTAGGGGCACTTGCCTCCCTCCCCTGGCACAGGGCAGCTGCAGAAGGGGATCCCAGCTGTGCAGGGCAGGGCCCCGGGGTGGGGGCACTCCAGCAAACACCGAGGACATATGTTTCATATTATATGCAACATTCTTTGTGGGAGCCCCAGTGAAAAACACACATGGCCAACCATCCCTTTCTCAGAAGGAGGGGCCCCAGGAAAGGGGATTTTGGCTACAGGCTTTATCAGCAGTTAGAAACAAAGTAAAAGCTCTGAGCTTGTTAGAAAAACTAACTGTGCTTCGGCCTTTCAATTTCAAGGATCAGGAGATGGTCTGGATTATCAGCAGACACCTGAGGAGACACCTGAGGCCCCCTGTGTCTCAAGACAACAGCGGAAAGGACACAAGATTTGGCGATTACCCTTGATTTCTTTACCATGTGGCATGAAGGACCCACCCCCTTTGCCGAACACTTCGCCTCACCGGGCAGGTACTATGAAGAACCCTTGAACTGGCATTTGCAAGGGTGCATTGTTCAACATACTATTGCCTAAAAGGGATCTTTATTATCATTATTAGATGTAGAAAATGCAGAGGGAAATAGTGTCCAAAAAATTATCTAGCAGCATGATATGGTGGGAAGAATGTGGATTTAAAGCAGGGGTCCTCAAACTTTTTAACAGGGGGCCAGTTCA